ACACTGACAGGTTGAGCTCCCCTTCTGCGAAGGGGGAGTCTAGGACCGTATAAATGAGTAATGACACGAGACATTGAGGCTTTTTTTCCGAGTCTGTGAATGTGTCAGACGGGAGAGTCCAGCGCTGTAAATTGTAACCTTTTCCTACCTTTTTTAAATATAATTGGTAAAACTAAATTCACACTTCCTTGATTTATTTGTTATTATGACTTGCCACTTCTGAGAGAGATAGAGCTGGAGGAAGTGGTGGGGGCTGGCTAAGGGTCCAGGGTCCGAGAGGAAGCCTAAGGCCCACCGCTATCAGTAGCTAAATGCAGTGACTGACGACTCGCAGTCAGCCCCCAAACGCAATAGCTGGTGCCAAAACCCTTCTCTCGTCTTTAGAAGTGGTGGCTTGTTTCGTATTATTTAATGGTGACACAGCGGCAGGTGACCGAGTCGGAGCAGAAGGCTTTTAACATGAGGTATGCAGAAACCTGTTCAATAGAATTTCTGTGTGTCCCTTAAGGACTGACAGGCTGCTCTGCTTTCGGTCCGGTGCATGCAGTTTAGTGAGCTAAAAGGCAGTAGAACGTTACAGTATAATACGTGATTTTGTGAGTGTTTTTATCCGGTGTGTGGGGGTGGTCGATGGCGTGACCTCTTCGTGCGGAGGGGTGTCCTGTCGGCTGGGCGTGGCCTGGGCCGGGTCTGGGATATTGGCTCCTCTCCGCTCGAGAATGAATGGGTCTACCTCCTAGGTTTGGGCATGGGCTGCCCCCTGTAGAGGGCGGGTACATGTCTTGGACCTGGGGGGTATAGAGTGCGTATCGGGAATAAGAATGAAATGTATCGTTATTGTATGTCTTTGAGTGAGTGAGTGTGAGAATGAGACTGGGACTGTGTGATGGTGTCTGTGTATGAATGGGTATTTATTAGGCTGAGACTCGGACTGCCCCCTCTTTGATACAACTGGGGGTGCTTGGCATCGCGCCCCTATCGTGCGGCCCCCTGGTGGGGTGTGCCCTTGCCTGCTGACGCGCTTGGGGCCCTTGGTGTTGGGGGCTGGGCACTTGGGCGTGTGTCGGCTCGGCCTGGTGTCTGCCTGGTGGGGCTCGGGTCCTCTGGCCCTGTCGGGCCTTGGCCTGGGTGGTGTGCATCCTTGGTGCCCAGGCCTCGGTGCCCGGGCCTGGAACTGCATCGGTGCAGCGGGTTCCGGCGGGGGCCTATGAGTTTGTCGCTGTTGGCCCCAGGGGTCACTGCATGTGGTCGCTGGTGGGGATCTTCCGGTTCTCCCCTGTGGTCCGATCTGGGGGGTGGGTGAGTGGTTCGTCCTGTGTGGGTGGCCCTGGGGGATCCGCGGTCGGGGTCCCTCCTGGGGTCTTGGGCTCTGGTCCCCCCTTTTTTGTCTGCCTCTGGTCTTGGGGTCGGGTCTCTGCTGCTTCACGGTTACTATTAAATGTTCTATTAGAGAAGTCTTATACACTTATGCATGCTCACAACCACACACAAATAGATGCAGGGATGCTTATGTAGGCTTTATATGTAGATATATAGATACGTATGTGAATGTATATTCATGTGTATGTATGTATGTATATGGGCGTAGGTATGGGTATATATATTTATGGAAACACTGCAAAACCATGAATATTTTAAGTTCTTTATACATATGTATTTTGTTGCTGTGTTTTGTCATATTCTTTGCAGGTGAACTGACAGTGGCTGGGTGTTTTGCCATGTGCTCTCTTTGTGTATATTTCTTATATTTTGGAGACTTACTTTGCCTTTTATTTTTTTCTATCCTATTTAAAAAATTAAAAAATAATAAAAAATAAATAAATAACTACACTAGATAATCACTAGAATAAATATTTCATAATAATGGTGTGGAGAGGATGGCTGTAAGGGGAGAAGAGAGGCCATCACGGGAAAAATAAATACATAAACAAACAAACAAAAAATAAATAAATAAATAACTGAAAAGTGGGGCGTGCAATATTATTCGGCCCTTTTATTTTCAGTGCAGCAAACTGACTCCAGAAGTTCAGTGAGGATCTATGAATGATCCAATGTTGTCCCAAATAACTGATGATGATAAATGGAATCCATCTGTGTGTAATCAAGTCTCCGTATAAATGCACCTGCTCTGTGATAGTCTTGGGGTTCTGTTCAAAGCGCAGAGAGCATCATGAAGACCAAGGAACACACCAGGCAGGTCTGAGATACAGTTGTGGAGAAGTTTAAAGCTGGATTTGGATACAAAACGATTTCACAAGCTTTAAACATCCCAAGGAGCACTGTGCAAGCAATCATGCTGAAATGGAAGGGTTATCAGACCATTGCAAATCTACCAAGACCCAGCCGTCCCTCTAAACTTTCATCTAGAACAAGAAGACTGATCAGAGATGCAGCCAAGAGGCCCATGATCACTCTGGATGAACTGCAGAGATCTACAGCTGAGGTGGGAGAGTCTGTCCATAGGACAACAATCAGTCGTACACTGCACAAATCTGGCCATTATTGAAGAGTGGCAATAAGAAAGCCATTTCTCAAAGATATCCATAAAAAGTGTTGTTTAAAGTTTGCCGCAAGCCACCTGGGAGACACACCAAACATGTGGAAGAAGGTGTGCTGGTCTGATGAAACCAAAATCCAACTGTTTGGCCACATTGCAAAACAACATGTTTGGCATAAAAGCAACACAGCTCATCACCCTCAACACACCATCCCCACTGTCAAACATAGTGGTGGCAGCATCATGGTTTGGGTCTGATTTTCATCAGCAGGGACAGGGAAGATGGTCAGAATTGATGGGAAGATGGATGGGGCCAAATACAGGACCATTCTGTAAGAAAACCAGTTTGAGTCTGTAAGAGACCTGAGACTGGTACAGAGATTTATCTTCAAACAAGACAATGATCCAAAACATAAAGCCAAATCTACAATGGAATGGTTAACAAATAAACGTATCCAGGTTTTGGAATGGCCTAGTCAAAGTTCAGACCTGAATCCAATCGAGAATCTGAGGAAAGAGCTGAAGACTGCTGTTCACAAACGCTCTCCATCCAACCTCACTGAGCTCAAGCTGTTTTGCAAGGAGGAATGGGCAAGAATTTCAGTGTCTCCATGTGCAAAACTGATACAGACATACCCCAAGAGACTTGCAACTGTAATTACAACAAAAGGCAGCACTACAAAGTATTAACGCAAGGGGGCTGAATAATATTGCACGCCCCACTTTTCAGTTTTTTATTTGTTAAAAAAGTTTGACCCTTGTCGGGTCGTATTCGTTGGGTCCCTGTGTTCTCCTGCGTCTCCTGAGTCTTCCCTGAGCTTACTGAGTCCTTCCTGAGTTTCCCTCTGAGCCTTCTGCTTTCATGTAAGTTTTGCTGCCACGTCAGCTGTTTATTTTGTTCTTTATTCATCATTAAAATATTTATTTTTGTAATCTGCCGAGTTGAGTCCTGTCTGCACAACTGGGTTCGTCCCTGACCACCAAATCTTGACATTACGACCCGACCACATATCGGAATCCAGCGGGCAGGGTTCTCTCGGCAACTTACCTTTTTTCTTTTTCTCCTCCGAGCCTCCTGAGATGAGCAAGCCCACAATCCGGTGCGGCGGGTTCTGCACCAGGCCCGTCCGCCCACAAGGACATTATGACCAGGAGGTGGAAATCCTGTCCTCACCACTCCTGGTCCTCGAGGAAAACAGGTCTCGGCACCGGGGAAGCCACCAGACCCCTGTTTCTGAGTCCGCCTCGCCCGGCTATTCGGGGTGGACGTCGGGGGAGGACGAAGAAATCGAGGACGAAATCTGTTTTGTTCCTGTCCCCCGACTCTCCCGCCGTCGCCGGGGAGGTAGAAAGCGGTCCCGGGGGCAGTCCGCGGCGACCAGCCCGGTCTCGTCGGCTGAGCAGAATATTAGAGTTGGTTCTGGTGTTTCTGTGGGACCCGGGGCCGCCGCCTCACCTCTCAGGTTTCCGGTGGGGGCGAGATCTGACGTCCCGCGGGAGCTCCGGTCCACTCCTGTTCGGTTCAGCGAGTCCGGTCCACTTGACGTCACAGGGGCGGATTCCGTGGCCTCACCTTCCAGGTTCCTGGTGGGGGCGGAGTCCGGCCTCTCACGTTACACCGTGCCACGGCTGTCCAACCCAGTCTGACCGTGCCTCCTGGGCATTCTCCCAGTGACTCTGTGGGGGCGTGTTCCGCCGCCCCACCTCCCAGGTTTCCGGTGGGGGCGATACCTGACACCACACCCTCACATAGAGACATTTGTTCGTCAATCACATATTCACCCCATGAACTTGCTTCTATAAACTAGATTTTACTAGATTCATTTCTTAATGCTAAACATAACCCGGACTGTTCAGACGTTATATTTTCCCTGATGGAGGAATTTTTTGTTTCACGGCCCGGTCTCATTCTGCTCCCAGAGTATAATCGGTTATTAATAGAAATTAGGTCTCTCATCACACCCAAGGTCACTAATACACATTCTGAACCCATAATTCATCCTGCATCTTTTGTCACCACCGTCTCTGAACTCTCCTCTGCTCCTCTGACTCCTGCACCCATCACCTTCGCCGCTGGTCCGCCTGCTGTGCGCCTCGCCGTTGGTGTACCTGCTCCTGTTGCCTCAGAAGATTCAGCATCTGTTTCTGTTTCCTGCCGCCGCCGCCGCAGAAGATCAGTTCCTGCCGCAGAGGAGTCAGTTCCTGCCTCCGCCGCAGAGGAGTCAGTTCCTGCCGCCGCCGCAGCACCCAAGGCCTCTCCGTCGTCTGCTGCAGATCCACAGGCCTCTCCGTCGTCTGCTGCAGAGCTCCAGGCCTCTCCGTCGTCTGCTGCAGAGCTCCAGGCCTCTCCGTCATCTGTTACAGAGCCACAGGTCTCTCCGTCGTCTGCTGCAGAGCCACAGGCCTCTCAGACAGCAGCAGCATCTCCCCAGGCCTCTCCGACAGCAGCAGCATCTCCCCAGGCCTCTCCGACAGCAGCAGCAACTCCCCAGGCCTCTCCGACAGCAGCAGCAACTCCCAAGGTCCCCTCATCGCCTGCTGCCAACTCCAAGGTCCCCTCGTCGCCTGCTGCCAACTCCCAGGTCCCCTCGTCGCCTGCTGCCAACTCCCAGGTCCCCTTGTCGCCTGCTGCCAACTCCCAGGTCCCCTTGTCGCCTGCTGCCAACTCCAAGGTCCCCTCATCGCCTGCTGCCAACTCCAAGGTCCCCTCGTCGCCTGCTGCCAACTCCAAGGTCCCCTCGTTGCCTGCTGCCAACTCCAAGGTCCCCTCGTCATCCGCTGCAGCTCTCCAGGCTCCCACATCGTCCGCTGAAGCTCTCCAGGCTCCCACGCCGTCCGCTGCAGCTCTCCAGGCTCCCACGCCATCCGCTGCAGCTCCCCAGGCTCCCACACCATCCGCTGCAGCTCCCCAGGCTACCACGCCGTCCGCTGCAGCTCTCCAGGACTCCATGATGCAAGCTGCAGCTCCCCAGGACTCTATGTCGTCCGCTGCAGCTCTCCAGGCTCCCACGCCGTCCGCTACAGCTCCCCAGGCTCCCACGCCGTCCGCTGCAGCTCCCCAGGCTCCCACGCCATCCGCTGCAGCTCCCCAGGCTCCCACACCATCCGCTGCAGCTCCCCAGGACTCTATGGCGCATTCTGCGTCTCCCCAGGACTCTATGACGCATGCTGCGTCCTCCAAGGTTTCTACGCCGCCAGACGTGGCCCCCTCGTCGTCTACGCCACCAGACGCGGCCCCCTTGTCATCTACGCCGCCAGACGCGGCCCCCTCATCGTCTACGCCGCCAGCTTCGGCCCCCTCATTGTCTACGCCGCCAGCTGCGGCCTCCTCGTCGTCTACGCCGCCAGCTGCGGTCTCCTCGTCGTCTACGCCGCCAACTGCGGTCTCCAGGGTCTCGTCTCTGCCAGCTGCGGTCTCCGGGGTCTCTTCGCCACCAGCCGCGGTCTCCGGGGTCTCTTCGCCGCCAGCCACGGTCTCCGGGGTCTCTTCTCCACCAGATGCGGTCTCCGGGGTCTCTTCTCCGCCAGCTGCCGCCTCCGGGGTCTCTTCGCCTGCCGCGGCTTCCAAGTCGTCATCGCCGCCTGCCGCGGCCTTTAAGTCGTCATCGCCGCTTGCCGCGGCCTCCAAGTCGTCATTGCCACCTGCCGCGGCCTCCAAGTCGTCTACGCCGCCTGCCGCGGCCTCCAAGTCGTTGACGCCGCCTGCCGCGGCCTCCAAGGTCCTATGTGTTGGACGGCCTCCCAGCCGCCCCCCTGAACGTTGGTCCCGTGTTGGACGGCCTCCCGGCCGC